CCGGGCCAACGAGGCACGTGCCAGCCAAGACTTAGTCGCACGGAGCCCAGCAGTAGACTGGAGCTCCACCAAGAGAGCACGAGAGGAAGCAGACGGGCATAATGAAGCCATGATGACCGCCTCGGGCTGGAACCCACTCAATTCCAGTGAAGCCAGGTCCGAAGGCGAAGGTGGCACCGGTTCGAGCGAGTCCCTTTTGAGACGGCCGACTTCGCCGTCCGCTGTGCTTTTTTGAGAATGAAGACTATGAAGAGGCGGTGGTTTCCAGAGGGATGGTGAGTGTATCTGATTGGGTGGCATTATTATATTATTGAATGGGCGGTTAGTACTATGAAATGTATAAGCATATTAATTTATATACATGCAGATGTAGGACGGCTGTGGAAGCTTCTAGAAGCTTCCATACGTCTGAACTGCGGGGGCGACATTCTTTTGGCGCGCTCTCCCCCAAGCTCCCCTGACTTCGATAAACCACTCCGTTGTTCATCGTGCCAAATGTTCTCATATACGCATTAAACACTAGAAGCTAGTACGTTCATTTCACCACTGCTTCTTGTTTCAGTCATAGATGATCTACGAAGTGACCGACACTACGAGACCATCCACAAAATAGAACAGCTCTAATCGTGCTAGTCTGTACATCTTGCTCAGGTCAAGGAAGATGCTCTGGATAAGCACTGTATAGACACTCTTCCGTGGGCCTAGTGTCTGCGCTGTCTTGACGATGCGAGCCATGGAGGCAACAAGCTGGTTCTGGACGAGCTTACTTGCCTTGGCTTCTTCTGATCCCTTTCCCCCTGAAGCCACAGCGCTTCAACGAGCAATATTACACACTGGCAACTGCTCATCTGCTGTACTAGACGGTTGTCATCCAAATCATAGCATTAAACCCAAAGCCTTCGAGATCTGTTTTCATAACGAGATCGCAACGCCAAGTGATGAATATATTAATAAATTGCTCCTCATTTCTCCTCAAAGCTATTTCATCGCATTGTCAACACCTTGGGCAAACCATAGGGCTGCGTAAAACAACAACACATTATTACCCGCGTCAGAAAACAAATCGTCATGGGCTTCTTTGCGTTGATAGTATGATCCTACGCAAATACGATCCCTCCGAGATTTACATTTTGCTAGCAATAAGTATAATTTTGATTGTGGGCGAGCCTGCGCTGCATTCAATCTAGCCGATTCATTAGGTGGATCGGCAGCAACAACAACAACGCTACTGTATTTTGTAGACGTGACTGCGCTGGAGACATAAATGTAATCCAGCAGTGATGTGCTGGACCAGGACAGCACCATGATCGTCAGCTTCCCCTTTGTCCAATGAAGGCAAGTCATTTGGCCGTAAGAAATGAATCTGACGGTTTCGAACACAATCGCGTTTGATGGACTATAAATGGAGTACGCCACCTATAAGTCTGGTTTTCATTTTGAGAAGGATTGACTTCGTAATGAGGTATTCTTACGCTACTCTTAAAATTACTACGTGCATCTTACGATTTTACATGAATACAATTTGCAGTCTTCTGTATTGGAGGTTGAGCGGTTGGGAACAGAATGAACATAGACTCATAACGACATCTACTAGACTCATAACGACTTCGACTAGCGTATTTAGTTTTCTTCATCCTCCGAGAACTCTTCACAAGTTATTCATTTTTATAACTGAATGGATGCCCGTAACACAGGCTGGAAAACAAAATATGTTTTCTTTTTCGTCTCCCGTAATTTACATTGCAGTACATGGCTGATAATAATAATCAACAATACGGCATTGATTGCACATTATTGCAGTAACTATATTGGCTCGACTATTGTACATATATTCATTGTGTATGGGATAAGATATTGCGACAGTATTTTACATATTTGCAAATATTGGAAGAAGGGTGAAGCAAAAGTAACTTATTCCGCACCAAAAACGCAATCGTTATTGTATTCATATTACTTTTTTTCCCACCACTGGCCTGCAATGTTTAATGAATTCATTAAACATTGCAGGCCATATATATACCGGGACCATTTGTTACCACTGTGAACATTGTGCGGGCCTTGGTTTACAAACGCTCAACGTGTCTTGTACAGACAGCTAACACGTTACACAGATAAGTGTGTACCTTGCTGTATTCACCTGTGGACTCCGCGAAACAATCATTTCGAACGCCAACACCGCCTGTATTTAGATGGGTATTGTGATGTGACCGTCACGCCATA